TTAATCAGCCGAATGCCACGTTGAAGAGAAACATTTTTGTCTGCCACCTAAAGATACGTAATGAAGGCACCGGGAAAGCCTCCCACAAACGGGGAGCCACTGCGGAAAAGGCCCTTTCTTTTGCTGCCACCCTCCGGGCCTCTCATGGAGAGGGCCACAAAGAAGGGTCTCAGATGATGATTGCAGGGTCCAGGTTGGTTCATATGATCAGAGGCGGTCCTTGAGGTATTGCAGTCCTGGGGCATTTAAGGCTTTATAGGTCAAAACCAGAACTTTGAATTGGGACTGGAAGCTAATTGGCAGCCAGTGGGCAAGGATTGTTGTCGCTTGCTCATTGAACAGGGTGGCCGCTGAATTCTGTACCACCTGCAGTTTCTGAACCATCTTCAAAGGCAGCACCATGTATAATGCCTGGCAGAAATCTAACCTAAAGGCAAAGCAATTTGGAAGAAGTCAGGCAAGCACACAGAAGTATTGATTTTTGAACCCAGAAGACCAGCACCTGTCTCAGTTTTCCTTCCTTCCTTCCTTCCTTCCTTCCTTCCTTCCTTCCTTCCTTTTTATCTCAATGGGATAAAATAAGCTTAAAGATACAACTTGCATCTCCTAGAAAGCTTCAGCATGCGTTTCGAACTTGGGCCTCCCACAATTAAATCTGAATACTCCTCCCCTTGAGAAAACATGCACACACTGAGTAACATACTACGCAACGTCGCCACGACATCTGTAGTTGCAGCTTTAAAATAGACCCTATTTCACATGGCAATGGGGGGAAGATTCTCCACCACTAACCCACTGCACGTTTTTGCTCTGAGCGGATCATTTTTTTGAAGGGAAAGAAGCTGACGACTCACAAAATCCAGCTCTGCGATGTGTTGCAAAAGACTTCCCAGCCATAACTTTCTCGTCCTTAAGATGTGAAGAAGGTCATTGTCAACACTTGATGCAGTTCACAGTCCCTGTGATGCATTATGTCAGCATTTTGGGGGGTTACGTTCCACTGTTGGGTATTAGATATTTATAATTTGGCCATAAAAGCTACGCAGGACTTGAAACTTGGCACCAGGGATGGAAATCTGAAGTAACTGTTTATCATTCTGGAGCAATTTGGCTCGCCCAGCCAGAGCTGCTGCTGTGTGGCCTTCGCCCATTGACAGCCAGGATGGGCGTATAAGCGATAGACTGGGACCATTCCCCACTCAGCCACATGATGCTTAACCCTCCCAGCCTAAATTCCACCCCTACCCCAGGTTGTTAGGAAAGAAAAATCGGGGAAGGAAATGCGTAGAAACTCTCTTCGTGTTTGGGTTGTTCTTTGCTGTAATTCCAAGGCAACGCTGTATTGTATTGAACATACAAAGTGCAGTCGGCCAGTCTTCATACAGCAACTGGTCCCAAAACTTGAGCATCACCCAGCCAAGCCCAAGCTTCCCTTTCCGCCAGGGGTCAGGAACCTGTGGCCCCTTCATATGATACCGTATTCCAATAATCTCCAACCCCTTGGCTGTGCTGATTGGGGCTGATGGGAGTTGGAGTCCAGTAACATCTGGCGGGCCACAGGTTCAGCCTGACGTCAACAGAACCTGACGAGTTGTACCAACGAAATCTTGAAGGGTGTGGGGAAGAGAGGAGCATTTCCAGCCAAAGTTAGGCCCCACAGCCATTAAGTACAAGCAGATGGTAAAATCGGTGCCCCGTTAATCAGGAGAAGAGGGGTTCTTTGCTGTAGCTCAGCCGCCACCAACATGGCTTCCTGCAGATGTTTTGGATGACAGTTCCCATCAGCATGTGCTGGCTGAGGCTAATGGAGGGTAAACAAAGGCTGGAGAGGCCTGAGAAGGGTGCATTTTCCAAACAAATAATCTTCTCTTTCCTCATTATCCAAACCACAGCTCACTTCACTTCTGCACCTCTGGGAAATTCACTGTCTAATAAGCTATGACCTGCAACTTCCTGAGAACATTGTCAAAATTATATCGTGTTACTTTTGCTTTGCTTTCTAAGAGATGGGCTGTATCACGATGGCTTTTAATGGAACGGGAGTTGTAATAATTTGCCACAGATGCTTTTCAGTTTGTGCAGGTCAAGTTTTAGGGTTGTTAATGCAGGTCCAGAATGAATTAAGGGCCAAACCCCCCAAAGGGGGAAATATCTACTGAATGTGCTTAGAAACCTCTCTGCAGGCAAGAACCAAGGCTTATCGGGCTAACCAACTATGAGAGGAACTCCTTTTCAGACCTTATCACACAAAGATGTGTTCCAACTGCACCGGCTGCCAATTCATTTCCGGGCCCAATTCGAAGTACTGGTTTGGACCTATAAAGCCTTAAACAGCCCAGGACTGCAACAGGGGAGATTTATGTTTTGTTCTTATTTTTATTACGTAGTTTGTGGTTTTTTATATATTTTAATTTTATGTTGTGAACCACCCTGAGATCTATGGATGTAGGGCACTACACAAATTCAATAGGTACTAGTAGTACAGTGGTACCTCGGGTTAAGAACTTAATCCGTTCTGGAGGTCCATTCTTAACCTGAAACTGTTCTTAACCTGAGGTACCACTTTAGCTAATGGGGCCTCCTGCTTCTGCCGCGCGGTTTCTGTTCTCATCCTGAAGCAAAGTTCTTAACCTGAGGTACTATTTCTGGGTTAGCAGAGTCTGTAACCTGAAGCATCTGTAACCCGAAGCGTCTGTAACCCGAGGTACCACTGTAGTAGTAATGGTAGTAATATTGCAACTATAGCCTGCAGGCAGCTATATTTTTTTCCATTTTATGAAACTGGGCTCCAGATCATGTGAAGAGCGTACATTGCTGCAAAAGTCCAGAATGTGGGGATTGTGTGAGGGTGGGGGACGCCGACAAAGGAGCAGAGCTTAAGAGTGATTTTATTGATGTAATCTTTTCTCATTTGAAAATTGCACATCATGTGTACACACCAAAGTCCCTATTATAATAGTTTGATGGGCTTTAACTTGTGTGTGTTCTTCATCCTATTGACCTCCGCGTGTTGCTGCTTAGGATGTTTGCAGCACCTTAAAACCAGCAAGTGTATGTTGTCTACTCATGAGTAAATTTAGCCAGGCCATGTGTTTGTTGTGCTTTGAAGATTGGGAGAGAATGTGTTCATTGCAATAGCCGCCCAGGCACCGTGGAAAATATTATGTAAAAAGTTAGTATCTCTTTTAAGAGATAATGGCTTTTTCCATAGCACCCACCCAAAAGAGAAGGCCTGGCCTCTGAAGAGAGATGTAAAATATACTTTGAGCTGCTTCTCTTGTTCTTTGGGAAGACCAGAGTCCCAGCCACTTGCAACAGCGTAGAGAAAAACATCTCTCTAAAGTTGTACCGCAGGCTGGAGGGTGTGCTGGGGAGAGGACCTTGTGCTAAGCAGTTGGGTTTATATCTAAACTTATCACTTCCCTTATTTAAAAGACAAAAGGATCACCTTGGAGAGAAGGCGGAATATTTATTTTGGAAGCCCACTGAAACATTCTAAATCTGCACACATAGATTAGGCAGGTATAAGCAGTTTGCACTGTGATGTCCTCCTTGGGAAAATTGCCCATTCATTTCACAGCCTTCCCTTTTTAAACATCCTCCATTCACCATTAATTATTTTCATTTTTTATGTTACACTGCCACCTTTTGTCCATTGGATAGGAAACCTCTCGTCAGCTTGGATGCCTGCCAGGTTTTTTATTATTATTATTATTCTCCCCTGTTTTCCTTGATCAGTATTGGAAGAGAACACTTTGAGCCAACCTTTGCAATATATATAGGTGAACGATAATGCCATTTTTTAAAAATATTGTGACAACAGCCTGAGTGGCAAATCACTCAAATTCTAGTAATGTGCAGTGCAAGTGAAAATATCCTTGATGCTCCCCAAATATCGTCCTTTACCCTTGTGGTGTAGAAACTGCTTCCATGGGCCTTAGGTAAAGGTAAAGGTACTCCCGACCATTAGGTCCAGTCGTGGACGACTCTGGGGTTGCCAGCACTCATCTCGCTCTATAGGCCGAGGGAGCCGGCGTTTGTCCACAGACAGCTTCCGGGTCATGTGGCCAGCATGACTAAGCCACTTCTGGCGAACCAGAGCAGCGCACGGAAACGCCATTTACCTTCCCGCCGGAGCGGTACCTATTTATCTACTTGCACTGGTGTGCTTTCGAACTGCTAGGTTGGCAGGAGCAGGGACCGAGCAACGGGAGCTCACCCCGTTGTGGGTATTCGAACCGCCGACCTTCTGATCGGCAAGCCCTAGGCTCTGTGGTTTAGACCACAGTGCCACCCGTGCCCATGGGCCTTACCTCGAACATTTATACTTGTAGTATCTGGATAGAGGAATCAGACGGGGAGCGTAGATGGCATAATTTTTCCATGTATAGATGCTGCCCTGGCTTTTCCCCATCTGCTGCCTTGCCTTCCCCAGAAGACATTGGTTACAGTTACACCTTTAAGTCACTTTTGCAATGGCAGGCTCTGCATTTATTTCTTTATTTAGAACCTTTATAAACCGCTTGTTCGGACGAAAAATTCTCCAAGCGCTGTACAAGTCGATAATGATATATATAAAGATGACTGAAGTCCGCAGACGCATTTTAAAAACGCATAAAATCATCATTAAAAACAAAGGGATAAATCAATATAACATTTGAAGGAAATATAACTAATCCATGTGTCTGGATAGGCTTCCTGGAGGGAAACATTTTCAGCTGGTGTCTAAAAGAATAGGTGGCTGCCTAATTTCAAGAGGCAGGGAGTTCCACAGTACAGGTGCTGCCACACTAAAGGAGGGACTTCTTGGAAAGGCAGAATGAACATTGTGTGGCACCTGTAAAAGTGCAAGTTAATGTGCCATTAAGTTATTATTTATGTATATGTTTTTTAGAGACAAAGAGCAGTAATGTTCACCTTCAGATTCTTAACCTGCTATGTTTTGCTTTGTCCAGGGTTATATCCTTCGTTGTGACCTCATGGTTTAAGCGGGCATAAAGATGAGTATAAGCAGTGATGAGGTTAACTTCCTCGTATATAGATACTTGCAAGAGTCCGGTGAGTATTTGGCTAATAATTCTTTGAGGGATCCGTTTTGGGGGCAGCATTTAACAAATATTCAGACATCCTTCAGGATCTGTATGCATAGTGGCTGAAAGACTAGAGTATGACTCATCAAGGCAATTTCTCTTACCCAGACTCCCATGTGCTTTCAAATTTCTTGCATGGGGAGGATGACAGTGGCCTACTTTAACATAACAGGATTATTACAAGTCCATATTATCACAATTTTTTGCCAACTTATGCCTTAAGATCTGCAAGGGAAGCTCTGCCGGTGGTCTTGTCGACGACGGCTATTTATTTGGCAAGGGTGTAGAGCAGAGCCTTCTCTGCAGTGACACCCTGGTTGTAGAACTAACTCTTGGGGGAGATACAAATGTCAGCTGGAGACATTTTTTGTTCCTCCATGCCAGTGCTTCTCAAACCTGGATCTCCAGCTTTTTTGGGGACTACAGTTCCCATCACCCCTGATCACTGGTCCTGCCAGCTAGGGATGATGGGAATTGTAGTTCGAAAGCACCTGGTGACCCAAGTTTGGGAAACACTGCTCTAGGCAACGGAGGTGTTGTGTTTCCTGTTGAATGACTTGCTGATACATGTCTAGCGATGGTTTTGGGATACGTTTTAATACTTTTAATGTTTTATGGTGAAACATTGCATTTCATTTTAGATGTTGCAGGCAACCCTTTGAGTTGAAGGGTGCTTTAAATATGTAATAAATATCTATAGGTAAAGCATTTTTTGCTAATCCGAACTGCTATATGGATGCTAATTATTGTTCCTCCTAGAGCTGAACTTCCAGTTTTTCTTTTCTCCCTGCTTTGTGTACAGTGGTACCTTGGTTTACAACCATAATCCGTTCTGGGGGCCCGTTTGTAAACCACAACAGGTTGTAACCCAAGGCGCGCTTTCGCCAATGGGGCCTCCAAAAAAAATTTGTTTGTAATCCCAAAAAAGGTTGCAAACCGGGACATGCACTTCCAGGTTTGACATGTTTGTAATCCGAAATGTATGCAAACCAAGACGTATGCAAACCAAGGTACTACTGTACTTGTTGAAAAGCACCAGTGTTTTTCAGTGAGTTTTTGACTACCCCTCGTAATTTAGTACATTGGCTTAATACAAAATGCTCAAGAAGATTATTATTCCAAAGCAGCTGTGAGATGCATTGACCAGTTTCAAGAGAAATAATTTCCGGGGCAGAGGCCTTTTTGGTGGTAGCCCCTGCTCTTTGGAATAAGCTTCCCAAAGAGTCCTGCCTGGTACCTTCGCCAACTTCATTCTGCCAGGAGTGAAGGTGTATTTGTTTTCAAAGGCGTTCTTGAGTTCTTGATTGTTATTTTTTTACCTCCAATTTTTCAGTTCTAATCGTTTTTTGTCTGCGGGATGAATTTTGTACTCTGAAAAGCTGGATTCCGTAACCTGTCAATTCTGCCCAGTCTGGCTCAAAAATGTGCTCAACTTTAATGCAAAAGCAGCATATGGTACCCCAAGTGGAAATTGCCGTCACAAATGGTTTTTCTTATGGAAGTGGTATATTGCAGAGAGAGGAGTAATAAGGAAAGCTAGCGAGATGGACGGGGTATAAATAATAAATTATTATTATTATTATTATTATTATTAAGCTACACAGAAAGGAGATTGCTCACCTGGATTGTAGCACACAGAACGCCAGTTCTTTCTGACTAAGATCATGTTTTGTACATCAAAATAGACTTTTAAAAAAGCATGCACTGGAAGTTTTGTTAAGACTTATCTAAAAAATAGTGTGGAAAAATATGCATGCTCAGGTGTTGATTCTTTTCCAATTTTCAAACAAAACTTCAACTTATTTTGGCCCAGTGTGCATCTTGAATTGCATGTTGGATGTAAAATTCAAACTTTCTGTGTACTCTTTCACACGGTGTTGGATTCATTTTTTGTCTCTTCAGAAGATACTGAGTTGTATATAGAAAATAATGAAAAACCGCAGGGAACACTATAAAAGGTGGGGTATGGGGAATATTCCTTGGGGAAGGGGTTCTTTGTACCTGGTAAGAGCTCACCTTCCTGAGCATTTTGGTGAATTGTCTGCTATTTTTGCAAAAAACGTTTGAGGTTAAACTATAGATTGACTAGACTAATGTGAATCAGACAAACTGAGCACTTTTAATGGAGAGACCTAGAGCTTCAGTGGAGACTTCGGTCTTACAACCAGTGGTTGGGAAGTTTATTCGGCCACTTTTAGAATTGCTAGGGGACGCGGGTGGCACTGTGGTCTAAATTGCTCCCACAATTGCTCCCAATTGTGGCTCCCATTGCTCGGTCCCAGCTCCTGCCAACCTAGCAGTTCGAAAGCACGTCAAAGTGCAAGTAGATAAATCTGGCGGGAAGGTAAACAGCATTTACGTGCTCTGCTCTGGTTCACCAGAAGTGGCTTAGTCATGCTGGCCACATGACCCAGAAGCTGTCTGTGGACAAACGCTGGCTCCCTCGGCCTATAGAGCGAGATGAGCGCGCAACCCCAGAGTCGGTCGCGACTGGACCTAATGGTCAGGGGTCCCTTTACCTTTACCTTTTAGAATTGCTGAGATATCGCTAGCATGGCTCACATGTTGTCGGAACCATCTCCACATCCAAAGGAGCAAAAATCTAGCAAAAGCAGAGTAGAACATTCCCTTTTAATTTTTATTTTCTTTTTAAACTGAGATGTGGTCGACCCAGCTCATTTCTGGTGTGAGAGTGGTATGTAAGCGTGATAATAATTCTGAGGGTTTTGCAGCAGTTACATAGATTCCTAGTGGTTCAAGGCTCTTCATTCTACCGTATTATGTTTTTATATGTGTTGGAAGCCACCCAGAGTGGCTGGGACAGGCCAGCCAAATGGTTTGGGTATAAATAATAAAACTATTATTATTACTATTATTGGAAAGGACCTGTAGTTAATCCAAATTAAAACAAAAGAAATCCAAAAGGCCACGAGGCAACCCCCACCCACCCATTTCCCTCCTCCTGGCAATCAAAGTACAACAGATTTGCTGCCAAGCTATCCTCTTTGTGGAGAGCGGGAAGGGGCCACCACAGAGGATGTCCTGTTTCTGGTAACCCACACACCTCTCATTTGCTTTGCCTACAGAAAGTCCCAGGTTTAATCCCTGAAAACTGCTGGCAGGGCTGAGAGAGAGACGGCTGCCTGAAGCCCTGGAGAGCGGCTTCTAGTCAGTGTAGACAAAACTGAGCCAGATGGAGTAATGGTCTGACTCTATATAAGCCATCTTCCTGAGTTTCTCCTTCAGTAGCAGCAGAACAAGGGAATAGTAATAGTAATAGTAATAATTTATTACTTATACCCCGCCCATCTGGCTGGGTTTCCCCAGTCACTCTGGATGGCTTCCAACAAAATATTAAAAACACAATAAAACATCAAACATTAAAAACTTCCCTAAACAGGGTTGCCTTCAGATGTCTTATAAAAGCCAGATAGTTGTTTATTTCCTTGACATCTGATGGGAGGGTGTGCCACAGGGCAGGCGCCACTACCGAGAAGGCCCTGCCTGCTTCCCTGTAACCTCACTTCTTGCAGTGAGGGAACCACAAGAAGGCCCTTGGAGCTGGACCTCAGTGTCCAGGTGGAACGATGGGGGTGGAGATGCTCCTTCAGGTATACTGGGCTGAGGCCTCCAAGGAAGGTCTTAATGGACAGGCAGGTTCATGTCTGTCCCACTCTTTTCTGGATCCAAAAGGACCTGCATGTTGGTGATCGCACGTCAGTTGAACACACCCAAAATGGTTGCTACCTGTACTGGGGTTTTCAGCTCGAGATGCTATCCCCACAGGCTGTGAGCTGGAGATCACATCTCCTGGTCTAACCTGAGGTACCAGCCCCTCAGAGCCCTAACTGGGACTCTGGTGACTTCTAATCTCTCACTTCATGTGGATGAATTGCTCAGTAGGATGCAATGTTTATCTTCGACAAATCCCACTCTTCAGTTTTTCCTGCAGTAGCGGTAGCATTCTGCTTAATTCAGCCCAAACTGGAAAATGTATTCATCCCCTCTATTGTTTGCACGTTAGCCCAAAGCGGGAGTAAATTAAGTTCCCAAAAAAAGCTTGCTCCAAAGCCCTCCTCGTCTGATTGGACCGCCTTCAAGAGAGGGTTGCCTTCACGGGGGAAGTGTTTGGAAAGGGAAGCGGTTTTTTCAGAGAGCTGCGACCCTGGCTCTGCGACCATGAAAATCCTGCGTGGGGTGTCTCCATGATAAATCACAGCAGTGCCAGCTCAACAGTGGCTCATTAGTGCTAGCGAGTGCGGCGTCCAGGAATGAGATGAATACACACATTATTTCCAGGGATGGCAGAAAGCCGGCGCCTGGCAGCTGAACTCAATGGTGTGCGATTTTTAAAGCCTAGCTACCCACAGAACCTTTAGTAATGTTTAGGTCCTGCTTATAATACCTGTTTTAGTTACTCAGTGTGTGCCAAGGCAACTGAAAGCAGTGTACCTGTGGCAGACAATCTGCACCCCTTCTCTCCTTTACACTGTCCTGCCTTGCTCCCTTGTAGTCTTGTTTAATTTTGACAAAGTTGTCTTTTTGATGAGCCTTAATAAGTCGTTCCTCTCAGGCCCAGATTTTTTTTAAAACAACAACAACCATGATCCATAAAATTGATGCTCGCTGCATTGACGATAATTATTGTAATGGTTAAGAGCGAAATTCTGTTTAATTATTATTTGCTGCTGTTTTGAGAGTTAATTTTATCGTGTACTGTTCTGTTCTATTAGATTATTGAATATTACTTTATTTGATAGAAGTCAATCCATTTTAAGCGGGACGCGGGTGGCGCTGTGGGTTAAACCATAGAGCCTAGGACTTGCTGATCAGAAGGTCGGCGGTTCGAATCCCCGCGACGGGGTGAGCTCCCGTTGCTCGGTCCCTGCTCCTGCCAACCTAGCAGTTCAAAAGCACGTCAAAGTGCAAGTAGATAAATAGGTACCGCTCCGGCGGGAAGGTAAACAGCGTTCCTGTGCGCAGCTCTGGTTTGCCAGAAGAGGCTTAGCCATGCTGGCCACATGACCTGGAAGCTGTACACCGGCTCCCTCGGCCAATAAAGTGAGATGAGCACCGCAACCCCAGAGTTGGTCATGACTGGACCTAATGGTCAGGGGTCCCTTTACCTTTAATCCATTTAAAAGTTACATTTTATTGTGGCTTTTTGTGTTGGGATCCGATTTTTGTAAGGTGTTTTTCTTTTCTTGTATATTTTGTAAACCGCCTTGTGTAGAATAATAAACAAAGGCGGTACACAAATTCAAAGTGAAATGATAAGTTTCACATACAAATGCTATAGGCTTGTTTGCCCATTGTCTTACTTGGGGGGCTGACCTAGATATGTCCATGGTACTCACGTGCACCAAATTTTGGAATTTTGGAAATTCTGAGCTTCAGAATGCTGGCGTTTTGTAGCACCTACATATGAAAATGTGCAAGGAAATTTACATTTTCCACATTGATTTTTTTAGGAAGTTCTTGGTGGGACAGATCATTGGACCTAACAGAACTAGCTTGATGATGTTGGGTTTCCCCACACTCATGCTCATACTCCTGAACCCCAGCTCACTGTCTTTTCTGGATTCTTTTGTTTATTCCCTCCCAAATTGTATTCATTAAAGTACATATAAATTACTTTTTCCCAATTGTTCAAAGTGTTTCAACCCGTAACTGTAAAACAACAGCAACAAACGAAACAAAAGCTCTGGGGCAGCTCAACCGGTAGAGCATGAGGGTTGTGGGTTCAAGCCCCACGTGGTGTAAAAGATTCCAGCATTGCGGGGTGCGGGGGTGGACTAGATGATGCTAATGGTCCCTTGCAGCTCTACAATTCTATGAAAAGTTTCAGCAACAACATCTCTTGGAGCAAAAGAAGACCTGCTGGACCCAGAAGCCCATCTGGTCAGCAGTCCTGTTCTCGCAATGGACAACCAGATTCCTACCGGAAGCTTGAAAACTGGACATCAGCAACTGATGTGTAGAGTCATACTGCTTCCAGCAATGGAGTAGAACATAACCGCAGTGACCACTAACCAAGGGCAGTCCTGTCCTCCACGAATTTCATTCTCTGTGCACAATTTTATTTTTTCCATCTTGCCTGTGCAGTGTTTGGCTTCATCGGAACACATTGAAAGGAGAGCAGGAGGAAAGCTTCTCTCTTATCCACTTTAATAATCCAACGTGTGCAGCCTGGGAGTCATTCTGGACTCACAGCTGTCCATGGAGGCGCAGATCAATTCTGTGTCCAGGGCAGCTGTTTATCAGCTCCACCTGGTACGCAGGCTGAGACCCTCCCTGCCCGCAGACTGTCTTGCCAGAGTGGTGCATGCTCTAGTTATCGCTCGCTTGGACTACTGCAATATGCTCTACGTGGGGCTACCTTTGAAGGTGACCCGGAAACTACAACTAATCCACAATGCGGCAGCTAGACTGGTGACTGGGAGCTGCTGCCGGGATCATATAACACCGGTCCTGAAAGACCTACACTGGCTCCCAGTACGTTACCGAGCACAATTCAAAGTGTTGGTGCTGACCTTTAAAGCACTAAATGGCCTCAGTCCACAGTATATCTGAAGGAGCGTCTCCGCCTCCATCATTCTACCCGGACACTGAGGTCCAGCGCCAGGGGCCTTCTGGTGGTTCCCTCACTGTGAGAAGCCAAGTTACAGGGAACCAGGCAGAGCGTCTTCTCGGTAGTGGCACCCGTCCTGTGAAATGCCCTCCCACCAGATGTCAAAGAGAAAAATAACTACCAAACTTTTAGAAGACATCTGAAGGCAGCCCTGTTTAGGGAAGCTTTTAATGTTTAATAGGTTATTGTATTTTAGTGTTTTGTTGGAAGCTGCCCAGAGTGGCTGGGGAAACCCAGCCAGATGGGTGGGGTATAAATAATTTATTTATTTATCATCATCATCATCATCAAACCGAAGGACTTCTGTCAAAAGCTACCCATGGCAGGGCAGATAAGTGGGAGGGGGAACATCTTGAACCCCTATGAAAAGAAAGCCACTGAGTGGCTGCCCTGGCATCTTCTGGAGGGTCTATAGCTTTGAAACAGCCAATGGGCCAGACAGGGCTGGCAGCCTGTGCAAAGCCGTAACATTCAAGTTTGGCCTTCACACACAAAATCCAGATCCTGTGACCAATGAACCAGATTTTTGTGCAGGGAAATGGTTGTTTGCATATAGCCCAGATCTGATTGTTCTTATAGCCTCACATGAACATCCAAAGCGGGGCAGGTGAGCCTCGGCACTCGTATCAACTATCTGATCTGACCAATATCAAAACTGATAACACCTAGCAAAATGAAATGTCTAGTTGCCATTTGGGGGTCAAGACGGCTCAAAAGTCGTAGTTTCCAGAACGACTTTGTGGTTCCTGAAATTTCTTCAGATGGTGATGAAGATGATGATTGCAATTTGTGTACTGTCCTTTTATCTCATGCAGATAAAATACAACAGATAGAATTCTATAGGATGTGTTGTTAGTGTGTGAAAACAGGCAAGATCCAAGGATCCCCCCAGTTGGTGGAGATGGCCAGGCTCCATCTTGGCACCCAGGCGTCTTCACTTAGTCACAAGTGGCCGATAGCCAGGTGGAAAATGCTCCTGGCAATTTCAAACGCTGGTCCAAGATGGAAAGCAGGTTTTGGCCTAGCGAATTGCAATTTTTTCTCCCCCTTCCCCTCAACAGAGTAAACTTGCTGCCTGGGGGAACACTTTTCCTATTTGCATAGCCCCGCCCTTTAATTTGCATAGCCCCATTCTGCCTCCTGGGTCTTTATCTTGTTATCGTTACTGCTGCAATACCTGTGAAATCTCTCTCTCTCTCTGTTCTCCGGTATGTGTGCAAAATTTTGGATCCCAACGGCTATAAAGCAACTGTTTATAACGTCCCAAAAGGGGAGCTTTCTGAGGTTCTAATTACCTACGAGTGGAAAACCGTAACAGCTTAAGATGAATCACTTCCTCACAATGGATTTACCTTTTCAGGGCAAGCAAATAAATAACACTGTTAGCATCCAGTAATCCTAATTTTCCTATTTGCAAAACGATAATTATGCTGCCCTTGAAACGGCACGCAGAAGAAACGCACGCCTGGCGCTGGTGTGCTCATGCAATTAAAATGCTTTGTCGTGAAGTTAATCCTCCCTTCTGTAGGCATATATTCTCCCCTGTCCTATGCAATTTAGGAATAAATGGAAATGCGGCCCGGGGTGGTGGTGAGAGAAAGAGAAATAAACAAATGAATTTCAGTGCCTCACCAGAGCTTTGGGGGTTGATAGACTTGACCAAGGTTTATAAAGGAAATAATGGATTCACTGGGTAACAGCAAAGAAGCATAACTAGCATGACTAGGTAAGATTCTCTGCTGTGGTCTTTGGTAGATAAACCTTGATAACGAATCCTACCATTCAGGAAAAGTTGATTTGTGTCCTTTTTTGCAGTGTGTGACACTCCAGGCCTGACCTGCTGGCCGCAGCCTGACAACCTAAGACAGTGATGGCCAAACTTGGCCCTCCAGCCGTTTTGTGACTACAATTCCCCTCATCCCTGACTACTGGTCCTGTTGGCTAGGGATGATGGGAGTTGTAGTCCCGAAACAGCTGGAGGGTAGAGTTTGGCCATCACTGGCCTAAGGCTTCTCGTGTGTATGAGCACATCCTTATAACCTTCCCCTTGTCTTTAGGGTTCTCTCATTCAGCATTTACCTTTGGTATCGAGAGCCATATCAGCCAGTCTAACATCAACGGTGCCCTGGTACCCCCTGCTGCTTTGATTTCCATCATCCAGAAAGGCTTGCAGTATGTAGAGGCGGAAGTCAGTATTAATGAGGTAAGGCAAGTCTCTTGTCGGCTATAGACGATGACAAGTGCTTTCATATATCTGCAGAGGGTTTCATTACCCTGGGGAAGTGGGTTGCTCTCTCCTCAACTGTCCTGCTTAGATGGTTTGCTGTCACGATGGATCCTCTGTAGGTCCTGCTCACCAGACCTTTTCTTGTCAAAGAAGGTTGGAATAATACAAAGTTCTATGGAGGCCTCAATCAGGGCAGTCATTCATTGCCATGTTGCATGTGGGTGTGTGTTATTTTATCAGACTGCTGGTCCTCCAGAGATCAGATATTAAAGTTCCTTCAATGTTCACGTGAACAGGTCGCATGTGACCAGATTCTGGGCAAGCCTAAGGAATTCCGAGAGTGTGCAGACAGAAGCACCCTCACCTGCAAAAGCATGGCATGCAGTTGCCAAAAGCTCTGAACTACCTGTCGCAGTGCACACATGGCCAAAGCGTTGATGTCTCTTCATTTAGGAGGTCATGCACAAGCGCCACCAGCTGTGGTCATTCAAACAACACCAATAAGGCAGTGGATCAAATTGGGGAGGGAACCCAGTTGATTGTGTTGTTTTTTTAAGAACACTGTGGTTTCGATTCGCTCTCATTTGGCCTAGTGATTTTGCCCAGTCTTTTGCAAAGATGTTTCTGTTTTGGAGATACACACACACACACACACACACACACACACACACACTGCATTATCCCAGAGACAGGTGTGGAGAACCTCAGGCCTGGGAGCTGAAGGCAGCCCTAGAGACACTCCCCAGGCCACAGCCCCCATCAGCCCTGTCCCACACCCTCCTGAGGGCTTTTGCGTGGCTGGAATTTGCCCTTAATGTCTCATGCTTGCCTGGAAAGATGATGGAGAGGCGGCGGGTTGGGTGGAGGGGTGTAGAAACTCTGTTTTTGTGTGTGGCTGGAATGCAGACCACTGCGCAGAGGTAAGAATCATGTGCACTGCTCTGGCTCCACCCTCTTTTGTCTCTGGCCACACCCACCTCTGCAAAAATAGCTTAGCGTCATTGTCCTAGTCTAATGGAAAGTGACGCACCTCACCGTTTTCCTCACTAACCCTTCCATACATAAATAAAACTTTTTTTGAAGAAGTCCCCACTCAGAGTATTTCCTCTCCTCTCCCTTCTTCAAGATGTGAAAGTTTCTACTTTTGAGACCTTGAAGTTGTGCACGTCAGCCATTCCCAATCCTTACCAAGCAGGTCTTTTACCAGAGTCCCTTATTTCTGCCTAGTAACTCAGGTGGTCCCTTGGCCTTGCGCAAGGAGAGCCTTTTCAACACTTCGCTTGAGGCCCAGCGGCCATTTCCGCCTTCCTTTGATATCCCTCTCCTTTCCTTTTGAATTGGAGAACAGAGAGAGCATTCACCACTCTCACGGTGAAAAGAAATCTCTGGGAAGGACACGAGTCCAAGGGAAGAACGGAGAATAAATGAGGGAAACAGCCCACCACAAGGAGTTGCCCCGTCCTCCCAGCTTCTAAAAACAAGCCAAAGGACATGTCTATGGAGGCAGTTTTTGAGGAAATACTTTCATGTTCAGTTTGGTGTGTCCCCTGCCTTCCAGCAGTACTTAACAAAAGCAAATATATACGTTATTATATTGCCTGTAAACATATGTCCTGATACTTTTTATGAAAATAAATCAGTCTCCTGTGCTGAGAAGCCAGGCAGATTGAGCTGGGCCAATTCTGGCCTTCCCAGTCCTTCCACCCAGTTCTCAGATCAAGTTAGCCCCCCTCATCCACGATCAAATAGTGGGTGCAAATGCACCAACCCAGTGTTCACTAACAGCAGCACTAGGCTGGAAATCTGACTGACATGACAACCCGATTCCCAATGATAGGGAATCTGCCTGAAAAAGCTCTCCAGTCTTGTGGTCGGAATAGTTTCTTTTCCCCTAAGACCTGGAATTCCAGGGCCATCCACTGGGCATGGGCTCATATTATTGTTTGTATACAGTGGTACCTCGGGTTAAGTACTTAATTCATTCTGGAGGTCCGTACTTAACCTGAAACTGTTCTTAACCTGAAGCACCACTTTAGCTAATGGGGCCTCCTGCTGCTGCCGCGCCGCCGGAGCCCGATTTCTGTTCTTATCCTGAAGCAAAGTTCTCAACCTGAGGTAATATTTCTGGGTTAGTGGAGTGTGTAACCTGAAGCGTATGTAACCTGAAGCGTATGTAACCCGAGGTACCCACTGTATAGGGGGCTCGTCAACCTGGAAAGGTAGCTCATCTAGGAGAAGATATCCGCCTTGAGAAGAAAAGGCTAAAGAGTAAACCCTGCGCAGATCCAGTTCCTAAGACAGTTGACTGGTGCTATGTACGTCTCCGTCCAGCAACTTCTGCAGCCCAGCTCGTGCCAGACGTATCGCTCCGCTTTCCTTTGGGCCACGAGGCCACGATTGGGGTCTTGTCGTCCAGGCAGCCCAGGACCTCCATACACACTGCCCCTGCTTGCGCCCCAGGTTTCCGCTAACAGAGTAGTTTGGCTTCATCCCCAGAGGTGAACTCCATGATCTCTTGAGACAGACGGGTGCCAACAACCAAAGGGTGCCAACTTGAATAAAATATTGGGGGTGGGGGCATAGTCAATTACAAGATGCGATCCATGCACACCATCTGAATGGCAGTGCGCATCAACTTTAGGGGGCAGCCTGGGTGAAATGAACGTAGCCCAGGGGGGCTTTTGCCGCCGATTCTGCTATTGGGCAACCCCAAGGTCAAGGGCGGGGTCTCCCCTCAGACGTTGTTGGAGGCAGAGCATGTTGGCTTTTTACAGTATAGTAGCGCTGCAGAGAGCTTGCTGGGGAGACCATGCATTAAAAAGGGACTCAAAAATAACTTAAACAAGGTTTTAATTACAAAAACAAAAACTCCTTATACACTAAATACATCAACAACAAACCAGACCCAACCACCAACCCATCCCCCAGGGTAATGGGAGAGCTAGGTGCTGCTCCTTATATACTACACCCAATTGCCAACACAGCTTAATCAGTACAACTCGGCAGCACCTGCTATGTTTCACAGCTGTAAAGCTGGGTCTCGTTATCTTGCTCTGGCCCTTTCTCTGGCCCCTTAAAGACATACACATCGAGTGGAACAATGATGAACCTTTACATTTAAAGAAACCATTCAACAGAGCAATGGACTGACTCTTTGCAAGGCATCTTCATTTGTTTACAGACAAAGATACTATTCAGTAACTTCACAGGACAATTGGCCCCACATACCCATTCTGTCCTCGCCCTGCGACGCCTTTTTAGAGGGCCCCCAGAGTTTTTTTTTTAATAAAAAAGAACACTGATCCTGAGTTTGTTCTTGCTTTAAAAACACATTGCAAAGTATTCTGTGCAGTGGTCAAAATTCACCATCGTCAGGACAGATTTGTTTACGCTCCTGCTCTGAGATTATTGATGAAAAATTTGACCTGCCATTTAAACTCTCTCTCCCTCTCTCTCTCTCTCTCTCTCTCTCTCTCTCTCTCTCTCATCTTCAACCTCCAAATCAGGATGGTACTTTGTTCGATGGTAGGCCGATAGAGTCCCTCTCGCTGATAGACGCCGTGATGCCCGATGTGGTGCAGACGAGACAGCAGGCCTACAGGGACAAACTTGCCCAGCAACAGGCGGCGGCCGCTGCGGCAGCCGCTCCGACAAACCAGCAGGGGTCTGCGAAGAATGGCGAAAACACTGCGAATGGCGAGGAAAATGGAGCCCACACTCTAGCAAGTAAGTAAGCCGGCATGCAAGAAGGATTAGGTGGCTGTGCTCTTGCCATTAAGTTCCGAATTTCACGCAGAGCCGTCTGCATTAAGCATCTCCATATCCCCGGTATTTAAGCGAACAAATTTGGCTGGGTGATCGGGACACGGCTGCACCAAATGCTTGTAAACATTTGAAAAGGGGTGCTTGGGGGGGCTTGGACAGTGTTGCTCAAAGCACCATGTTCCCAGCACATGCACACTTTTATCTGCAATGTTTTCCAGCTGTTGCAATTTGTTGGAAAACGCCCAGGGGTGCCTGCTAGAACTCCGATTGTCCTCTGGTATGCGCAATGCTGGAAAAGGCATCTCCCCTCTCATCCAGTGCGCTCAGCAACATAAACCACCTTGATTTATGCACACTAATCATCTAGCATAACACAGCAAGAAGCGTGAAACATTGTAGTCTAATCTACTATTTATTTACACACTATGTACAGACTACAGCGTAATGGCGACCGTTCTCTTCTGCTCCGAGAGAACAAACAGAACAAAGTACAGTGGTACCTCTGGTTACGTACTTAATTCGTTCCGGAGGTCCGTTCTTAACCTGAAACTGTTCTTAACCTGAAGCACCACTTTAGCTAATGGGGCCTCCTGCTGCCTCTGCGCCACCGCCGGACGATTTCTGTTCTCATCCTGAAGCAAAGTTCTTAACCCGAGGTACTATTTCTGGGTTAGCGGAGTCTGTAACCTGAAGCGTATGTAACCTGAAGGGTATGTAACCTGAAGGGTATGTAACCCGAGGTACCACTGTACTTGCACTTTGACATTCTTTTGAACTGCTAAGTTGGCAGGAGAAGGGACTGAGCAACAGGAGCTCACCCCGTCATGGGGATTCGAACCGCCGAAGCGTATGTAACCCGAGGTACCGCTGCAAAAGCAAAAGTACATTACAAAGAACTTACAGCGGAAGAGAGATAAGGCTGTCTTCCATTCCCACAGTCTTCTCAGACAGGCATGTGAATTATACCAATCACAAAATGCAGCATCGGAAGAGTGAAATTACTGTTGCAATTCCTACGATTGCAGAACATTTTTCAGCCGGCAGAATCGCATCTGGGCAAGTGTGCCTCCATTGAAGGTCCCAGACACAAAGCACATTGTTCACAAAACACAGTCAAAATCCTAAATTCGGGCTTTGCAGAGTCCCACCTTGTGTGGCCTGCTTCTTATTTACTACTGTGCCCACAGTCTACTGATTTATTTTAAACCTGCAAAGCAAGACCACATGCTTGGCTCTCAACAGTTGAATCAAAACTGTTGACTGATCCTGAGTTCGCTCTTGCTTTAAAAAACAAACAAGAGCGCTTTGCAGGATCAGACCAGCATTGTCTGCAAGGTTCCCAGCAGCAAGCTGGCCTCTGCTGGCAGTGGAAGGTTAACTGTGAGCCCAAGCTCTCCCCTAAAGTATGCTTCCAACACATGGCTATTATTTGCATTGGTAAACCTGCAGAATCGCACGTTCTCTTTAAAACTAATGTCTCCATTCCTTTCCATGTTTGGATTTAGAAGCCAGGGTGATTGTTGGTGCTTCCCCCCCCCCCTCTTTTTTTGCTTGTTAACTGTGAGTTGCTGCTTATGCTAGAAATCCAGACTACTGGTCTAAAGATAATGTGATTTACCAGCCACCCCTACTGGCTGGAAGCGCAAATGATACCTGCTCTCTGTCTGCCTTTACAGAAAGAAGGATTTATGTAGCTTCTGTATCCAGTGCGAGGGATACTGAGATGACTTGGAAAAAAAGCTGCCCCTCTACCCTCTATCTTCCATGTGTGCTTTTTGCAGACAGGTCACTCTTAAATTAGTCACCAGACTTGCAAAGGTTGTGCATAGATCTCCAAAATAGGAAGTGGATTGCGTTTGCTAACCATAACTTTCTGTCTTTGGCTCCCTTGGCTTAATCTGATTTCACCTTTTGGAGTTTCAATTTCCTTTTGAAATACTAGAAAAACGTCGCCACCAGCTTAGACTCAAAACTGGTGACTTTTGCTTGTTTAAACAGACAGGCCAATGTGGATTAAATATGGCTTCCTTGCCAAAGTAAATAAAGAAACTTACTGTACCTTGTGCTGATTAGCCACTGGTTTGCCGCACACCTCTGTGGAGTTAGCTGAATATGGCAAAATGATCTGTATGGGGGTAGAAGAGTTTTCCATTACAGCGTATGTTTAAATCAGAGTTAAGGTGGTCTTGTCTTGCCCTCAGCCCTGCATCACCCTAGAAACCACCTCTTTAGCGTAATAAAGTACACGAACAATGAAGATAAAAAATGCATGCAGTGACAAATACATAATTTGTATGCACACAAGAAATATTTTGGCTTTGCTCTTAAGGCAATTATTATTCACTGTTACTAAAACCTCCAAATCTTGAGATAGCATACATGCTTTATTGGGGCATACACAGAGTGTCCACTCAACACGCCAGCGGAGTGTTCCAATGAAACAGAAAAACACCACACAGTCCGTTTATGGGCAATATAAAGCAGATCCACAGCTTAGCAGTTACATACAGTTGTAGTACATGGTCTTTCCAGCAGCATATGGTCTTGCAGTGTTCCAACACAGACTAGGCTCTGGCCCAGGGCAGTAGCCAAGAGCAAACTTGCTTCAAACACAAGGGTATTTATACTTTAGGTTGTGCTGAGTCACTCTCACATGCCTGCTGACTCACTCTCACATGGTCAACTAGTTGCAGGTGCAGGACAAACATGCCCAGAATTAACCAGTGCACCTAAATACCCCTTTCTTGTCCTTTTTTTCTCTGCATCCTTATACGTCAACATGGTTCCCCTAACTTGTATAATCAAAACAGTCCTCTGAGGTCAATTAAACAGGGAGGTTGTGACTGGTCTAAGGTTACTCTGACCTTCATGGCCAGATAGGAGATAGAAATCCCCATCACTGCTAAGTCCAGCATTGTGTCCACTGCACCACTCTGGATCTCCAACCCCAGGACCCTGTTTGGTGGATTGAATGCAGTTCAGTTGCACCAACCTATAGAATGGGCACATTGCTTCTGATGCTCAGATGTCGGAGGGTGTGCCAGAAGGCCCAGTGATCTAGGGAAGCAGAGAAGAGCCCAACAGAGTATGTGCTCAGAGTCAAGGGTTAGAGTGTGAAAACCTGCTGAAAACCCGTAGTGGTTGTTGGGATGGATCAGCAATATTTCCCTTTTCCCTGGTGTCGCTATGCTTACCAGGAAGGGAGAGGCATCAGGGAGGTTGGTGCAGTGCAAGTACACCAGCATGAGTGGCGGATTGGTTCTGCCGGTGCGTTTGCACTGTGCTGAAATTTCATTTCATTTCACTATTAAATCGTATATTACTATGCACAAGATGGGTTTGTAAGCTGAAGAAACAACAAAGCAGACTGCAGAGATCTCACACCCCTAATAATCTGATCCAATGAAGAAGTCGTAATAAAAACCTAACCTTAAATTAAGCAACATATGAAATAAAGCAATGTTAAATAATCCATTCGAATAGCGTTAAATTTACCAGCAAACACTAGTTACACAGCTCATACTTAACCATTACATCAAAGAATTACTAAACTGCAATCAATTAAAATTATCGGCCAGTAGCAATGCATAAAATACCACAAAACATTCAATACCACGAGAAAGGATCAAACTGAGAAGCAAGTCTGCCCGCTCTCTAAGTAGTGGTGCCGGGGAGAGGTTAGGGGGCCACAGCCCCCTTCCCTGCTGACTGCTGCTGCTCGAAACAGTGCCCTCTGGTCCATCAGCACTATATGTAAGATGGTGGTGGGGTCGGGGCAAAGATGTACCAAGCAACCAAGGTGTGCTGTCCGTGGTCCTGCAGGCCAAAAGCCAGGATTTAAGGAAGGAGTGGGTCCATAGTAACACACCTCCCCCCTGTTCTTGTCCTCTGTTCTGCAGATAATCACACGGATATGATGGAAGTAGATGGCGACGTCGAAATCCCTTCTAACAAAGCAGTGGTGCTGCGTGGCCACGAATCAGAAGTATTCATCTGTGCGTGGAACCCTGTTTGCGACCTCCTGGCCTCTGGGTATGTTTCCCCTAAAGACATTTACAGAGGCAGTTCTTTACTCCGGTTCAGGGCCTTTTCTTTAAGCACGAGAAGGCGGGGAGGCTGCCGACCGCACATCTGGCATCTGTTTGTTTTGTACAAAGAAGTTGAGTCTTTTTAGTTTTTAACTTCTTATCCCTGCAGAAAGTTCTTTTTTAAAAAAACAGAAGGCAAAGAGAGGGAGAGAGGAAGGACTTGCCTTAAAAACAAAATCAGTAAGCATGCTGTTCTGAGGCACTTGGTAGCCAACTTCCACAGCTTCCAGAGCCAGTTTGGTGTAGTGGTTAAGAGCGGTGGACTCGTAATCTGGTGAACCGGGTTCGTGTCTCCGCTCCTCCACATGCAGCTTCTGGGTGGCCTTGGGCCAGTCACACTTCTCTGAAGTCTCTCAGCCCCACTCACCTCACAGAGTGTTTGTTGTGGGGGAGAAAGGGAAAGGAGATTGTTAGCTGCTTTGAGACTCCTTAGGGTAGTGATAAAGCGGGGTATCAAATCCAAACTCTTCTTCTTCTTTTCTTCAAAATCCCATGGGTGTTGTTGTTTTTTCATATCAAGAAGCATGCTGGATAAATGCTTAAAGGAAAGTCTAACACCCAGAACCACCTCACTGTTACAAAATATAAGCTCAGCCTAACACCCACCAAAATTCTGAAGCAATTGTATGGGGACTCCCTGAGAATGAAGGAGAAAAATGGAAGGCTCGCTTGCAGGGGAATAAATCCTTTGAAAAATTGGAGGCCAGCTTGTGGCACACTGCTAGTTTATTTGCTAGTTGTCACCATATATTTTGCACACTGCGACAGGTGGTTTGGTATCCTCCAGCTGTGGATACTTTAATTAGCGGTCCAGCTCTTCTCTGAAGACCCTGGGAATAGGACTGCTTGAATTGCACAATGGTGTTGACAAAGTGGCATGTTTTAAATGTGGGGATTTTTGTGTTCTTTTTGGCATAATTAACTGTAGCTTCTTGGCTCTTTGCAGTGGCGAAAGTGGTAAGCACGTTATTTTGGGCAACGTAAAAGTGTTCCCATTCAAAACAGCGGAATGAGGTCCGTGTAACGTTACTGCACACAGAGGAGAAATGCGAAAGACTGATTGGAACATTTGTGGCAAAAGAGCCTGTAATTCTGGGAATGGTTGTGACCAGGCACTGTTACCCACATCTTTTGCTCTTGCAAGGTGGTGGTTAATTATTGGCTCAAAGAAGCCCATGATCTCTGTTTATTTTGCAGATCGGGAGATTCAACGGCAAGAATATGGAACCTTAGTGAAAACAGTACCAGTGGATCCACACAGCTGGTCCTTCGGCACTGTATACGAGAAGGGGGCCAAGATGTACCGAGCAACAAAGACGTGACTTCCCTAGATTGGAATGTAAGCAGAAACTCCCCGGTGCTCCAAACGTACTTTGCAAAACCCATATTTTCAGCTTCCAAGTTACAGTGTGCATCCACTGGGGGGGGGGGGGATGAGGGAGTTATTTTCTGAACTTTCCACTTAGAATTGTTAGTTGACCGTGTCCCTTTCGTCGCTGCTTTTAATGCCACCAATGCCCATGGTAACCAGTAAAACGCATACCTGCTGAAAGGTCAACATTTGGCGTAGCTGAGATATTATCTGGAAGGCTGAACTTTGCAACCCCATAAGGGTTCAGGAAGCACATCCGCTCCCTGTTCTGCGCAGAAGAGAACTTTCAAGACTCAGTGGGCTTTCAGAAATATTTTATTGTGTACCGGAGTTGTACACAGTAGGCATGCACAAGCCCTTGAGTGCACTCAAACCAGCTGTCTGGGCAAAGAAACTATAGCCAGGAAGGCAGGAAATGCAAAAGAGCAAGTAAAGTTACAAGTGAGCTTTATAATAGTCCCAGATCAGCATCACAGAAGCATAACAAAGAAAAAAACCAAAGGTATAGGTCAGTGAGTTGGGAACTCGTAACTCTTATGGCCAACAGTCAGGGATGATGGGATTGCAGTTCAACAATATCTGGTGGGCGTCAGGTTCCCCAGACCTGGAAAAAGTGGAAGAGGGGTATCTTGGTGAAGAGACATTAAACAGATTCCGCACCGCACCACCCCCATCGGTGGAATAAAGACTCACCCTGGAATAGTATTGGAACGGGCTTTAAGAAAACTTGTTGGTAGTTCTCAAGCACTGAAAAGGCTATTAGAAGGGGGGGGGAGAGATAGGGAGCAATAGGGTCTCTATCCCCATCGTTCTGCCCGGACGCTGAGGTCCAGCGCCGAGGGCCTTCTGGCGGTTCCCTCATTGCGAGAAGCAAAGCTACAGGGAACCAGGCAGAGGGCCTTCTCAGTAGTGGCGCCCGCCCTGTGGAACGCCCTCCCATCAGATGTCAAAGCGATAAACAACTACCTGACATTCAGAAGACATCTTAAGGCAGCCCTGTTCAGGGAAGTTTTTAATGTGTGACATTTTAGTGTATTTTTGGTCTCTGTGGAAGCCTCCCAGAGTGGCTGGGGAAACCCAGCCAGATGGGCAGGGTACAAATAATTAATAATAATAATAATAATAATAATAATTGGTGCAAGTTCCATTAAAGAGATGGAGGATTCCACCCCATGAAGGTTGATGACCAAAAGCAGTTGGCTGTTGCTTACCAGGAGGAAGAAGTGGAGCTGGGAAGTCAGTGTGGTGCAAACTCGACGTTTCAGGCCTTCTGGGTCTCCTGACATTGCACCTGCAGTGCTGTGGCCTCCCCGCTGTGTTCCCTGCCACAGTCTTCCCAGTAAGCCACAGCGACCCACCTGCTGGGAACTCCAAATTCCTCAGTGTAGATTTAGACACCAGCAGAAGATTCCTAGCTATATGGGTCAACACACAAGTGCCCTTGTGATATATTTCCACCATTCCTTATGAGCAGGACCAGGATGACCGGCAATATCCACCCCCCCCCCCCCAAAAAAAGATGAAATTTCAAGGTGTGCTTTGAAGGGCCCAGCTCTGGGGAAACGCCCAATAAATTACAAGGGAAGCCCAATTAAAGATTTTTGTGAGACTAGGAACATTTCTCAGGTGAGTTCCACAGGCCCCCGAGCTGCGCAGTATCAAGAGGGGCTGCATTTCTTCAAGCAGTGCTGTTTTCATTTGGGAGAGGCGGGGTTGCAAAATGTGCAGGCCTGAACAAACAAGCACACAGGAAGCAGTCTGCAGGGGGAACAAGAAAACTGTGACTCAGGTTTTGGGAGGTTGGACCCAGATGGCATGCAGCTTCATGGCACACATCACAATCTGAAGTGTGTTGCCTAGGAAGCAAGTCCCAGTGGAGCTCAATCCCAAGTTAGTGTGCATCGCATTGCCCTCAGGTTACATTCATCCCAAAGAGAGCAAACTCGGTGAGGACGTTGCCTACCTTAGCTGCGTTCTGTGACACGAAATAGCATAGCATAACACTCTTAACTCTTTCCAGCGTGGTGTAGTGGGTCAGCAAACTTTTCCAGCAGGGGGCCGGTCCGCTGTCCCTCAGACCTTGTGGGGGACCAGACTGTATTTTTTTTGGGGGGGGGGGGGGATGAATGAATTCCTATGCGCCAGAAATAACCCAGAGATGCATTTTAAATAAAAGGATTCTACATTCTACTCATGTAAAAACACGCTGATTCCCAGACTGTCCAAGGGCCGGATTTAGAAGGCAATTGGGCCGGATCCAGCCCCCAGGCCTTAGTTTGCCTACCCATGGTGTAGTGGTTAAGAGCAGTGGACTCGTAATCTGGTGAACCAGGTTCGCTTCCCCCGCTTCTCCACATGCAGCTGCTGGGTGACCTTGGGCTAGTCACACTTCTTTGAAGTCTCTCAGCCCCACTCACCTCACAGATTGTTTGTTGTGGGGGAGGAGGGGAAAGGAGATTGTTAGCCGCTTTGATACTCCTTAGGGTAGTGATAAAGCAGGATATCAAATCCAAACTCTTCTTCTCATCTTCTTCTTTTGCCCCACAGAGCGAAGGTACGCTTCTAGCAACAGGGTCATACGATGGATTTGCAAGGATATGGACTAAAGATGGTGAGCACACGGTTTTTCAGTTGTCTTCTTTTTTCTTTCTTTCATAATTTTGTGTAATTTTGTTCCAGTGTCCTTTTTTCTTCTGTTGTGCATAGCATAATTCATTTCGATCTTTCGTTTTCCCATTTTAGAATTGTAATAAATGCTCTCTTTATTGTCCAGGTAATCTCGCCAGCACGTTAGGGCAACATAAAGGTCCCATATTCGCATTAAAATGGAACAAAAAGGGCAACTTCATATTGAGCGCAGGCGTGGACAAGGTGAGACGGCATCTGGTTTATTCAATAATCCCATTTCGGCGAGATCAAATTATGGGGTGCACCAAACAGCTTTAGATTTGAAAACCCAACAGAAAAAAAGACAGTAAGGCCATGTGAGAGCCTGTCTGGGTTTGGAAACAACCATCTTCACTATGCCTTAATATAGCAGGTGACTTATGAGCATTCTTGACAACAAATGTGGTCTCTTAATACTAGTGGAAATTGCAGTTCGCTCAAGTATGGTGGGGGCGAACTGTCAAATGGCGAACTTCTGAGAGCAAGTGAACATTCCCAAGGCTGGAGCAGCTTAAGAGGAGAGCAGACAAATATATGGAGAATTGTAGAGAACATTTCCTGCAGTTTATGCATGATGTCCCCTTGGATTTCCCAGTCTTGCTTACGGGCTCCTTTATGCATTTTGCAGCAGGAAACCCAAATTTGCTATGCTGTGTGCACTCGACAGGGAGCTGCCACTGATCTCCCTGACCCAAGAGGACAAATACATGTTTCACATTCACAGGAAGTTTTAAGCAGATGCTTGAAGGATGAAGCATTTAGTCTTATCAGTTGGTTTGAATCACTTAAAAAGCTTTTGACCGGTTGAAAAGGTGCCCTCAATTAACTGTGCAGCAGGGTGGTGATAATAATAATAAGAAGTTATTATCACTTACAGCAAAAATAATATTAAATACATTAACTTGGAAAATCCACATCACAAGGCCATTATGGGAAATGCTATGTAGGTAATCCAGTCTGATGTAACTTTGCCAAATAAATGCACTCATGGGATCTCTCTGAAAAGGGCAATCAGGATAGTACTTTTAAATAAATTAAGGGATCCTTGTGTCGTTTTCTCAGCACAGAAAGGATGGAAAGGGAGCACATGAGCCTAAAGCTTGTGGATTCCAATTTTGTCCTGGGTAAAATCACTGTGTGTGTGTGTGAGTGAGAGAGAGAGAGAGAGAGAGAGAGAGAGATCAAACAGCCAGAAGTCATCCTCTTTGCAGGAGCTCTTAATCTTACGAACATGAAGGTTTTCTAGTCATTATATGTGACAGTGAAGGCAAACAAGTTTTGAACCTTGCACAAAGGAAAGGGAGCTTGTGTTAGATTTAGAGTGGATAAGCAGCTGGTGGAGAAAGGGTTTAGCATGCTCTCTACTTCACACCACCCACCCCTGAAGCCGCTTTTTGGGGCAGGAGGGAGCTGTTGGTGTGCAAATAATGTGTCGGGCACTAAGTGGTTAGCTGAAGGCAGACGCTGCAGCCTGCAAATATTTGAAGGGAGATGAGCTAATTAGGAGATTACAGACGAGTAATATGGATATTAGGAACTGCTTTCTAATAATGCAAACTTGTAAGCTGCACCTGTCTGGTAGATAAACTTTTGCTTGGGGCATTTTTAAATAGCAAACCTACAAAACATACAATCTGAATAATGCCGGTTTGGCAGACTTTAGCAACGAGTGAGATCAACAAAAGCAATTTTATGGTCTTTTGCTGTTTGTTTGTTTTAATTCAGACCACAATTATTTGGGATGCACATACTGGAGAAGCCAAACAGCAGTTTCCTTTCCATTCTGGTACGTATTTCTTTTCAAAGAAGCAATTGGTTTTGAAAACTAGGGGAGGGACAATTAACAGTGGAAGACACTGCCTTTTAAGGCTCAGTTGGTCCTGATTAAAATCAAGATTATCCATACCTCTTTTTTAAAAAAAGCACAACTGTGCACAAAATCTCTTTGCTACATTATCAAAAGAAGATATATTTAGTACACAATCCATTGCACCTTGCATTTGAGTTGGTATGGCTTTTGAAAACCTGCAGATGGAACCACCTTGTTAAATCCCGAGTCTCTGGCATGTCAATTCAGATCTCATCTTCCTCTGGCCTTGCCCTCTTCCAAAGAGCCATCTGGGCTAATTTTTGTATCCCTCCTCGGTTAAATCTGCATTGTTTATGGCAACGGATGACACAGTCTCGTCTTGACCCTCGGGTCTCAGGATCTATTATTTGAGAGTAATGATTTTAAGTTTCTGCTTGACGCAGAACATCTGGATCTTGGGGTCGTGGGTTTGAGCCATATGTTGGGCAAAAGATTCCTGCATTGCAGCGGGTTGGACTGTAGAAGACCTTCGTGGTCCCTTCCAACTCCGTGATTTTACGGTTTTCCAACCTAAAATATCATCAGTCATGAGTAGTAGGTTAGGTTGGGCAAGATCTCCCTAAATATATGTTTCTATTGAGCGTTATGGCTGAGCAGCAATTTGAACCTGGATTTCCCATATCCACACTGCTTCCTTGTTCCACCAAGTGCCTTGTGCAGGTGAAATGGGAGCCAAGTGCAGGCCCAGGGGACAGTCCCTTCAGCACTAGCTTTGCATCCTCCAAGGCCTGTGGCGTTGGGGAGAGGGGCTGTGATGACACACATCCTTATAAACATCAGAGGCTTCCAAGCATGTGCAAAGAGACCTCTATCCAGAGTTCATTTCATTTCACTTTTAATTTTTTATACCGCCTTTGTATATTGCTGTATTGCAAGGCCGTTTACAAACTGAAGAAAGAACAAAATGTACAATAAACATCACACATCTTATAGCAATCCATTCCCATGCAAATAAGTCATAATAAAACTATGACTTTAAATAAACAACTTACATCAAATAAAGTACAAACAAAACGCCTTGCGAGTCGAACGTTTTGGCTCCCGAATGCCGCAAACCCGGAAGTGAGTGTTCTGGTTTGTGAACATTCTTTGGAACCCGAACTCCTGACGCGGCTTCCGGTTGGCTGCAGGAGCTTCCTGCAACCAATCGGAAGCCACGCCTTGGTTCCCGAACGTTTTGGAAGTCGAACGGACTTCCGGAACAGATTCCGTTCGACTTCCAAGGTAACACTCTGTAGTATTCAGTGATTTGTTAGATTATAACAGTAGACTTTAAAATGAACTTGCAGAATATCAGCAAATAATAATTAAGCAGAAATTCACTCTTGACAATTGCAGTGAATCGTTACTTAAATTATCGTCAGTAAAAATAACAGCAAAATTGCAATACATAAAAATACCACAGTACAGTGGTACCTCTGGTTACGAACTTAATCCATTCCAGAGGTCCGCTCTTAACCCGAAACTGTTCTTAACATGAGGCACGCTTTCGCTAATGGGGCCTCCCACTGCCGCTGCGCCAAAGGCACACAACTTTAGCTCACATCCCAGGAGCATCTACTTCCGTGTTAGTGGAGCTCGTTACCTGAAGCGTCCATAAGGAGGGCGGTACATAACCCGAGGATCCACTGTATATAAGAACCATATAGAAAGATGAAATTGAGTGACAAGGGCAAACCCCTCTGAATTTTACATTCTGCTCTGCTCTAGGCTGATACCTTGATACCGTTTGCTCAAGAATACAGGGGGGTGGTGGTTATGTCTCCGCTTAATGTTTTGTCTGTCTTGTCTGTCAATAGCACCAGCGTTAGATGTTGACTGGCAGAGCAACAACACATTCGCCTCCTGTAGCACAGATATGTGTATTCACGTCTGTAAACTAGGCCAAGATAAGCCCATCAAAACTTTCCAGGGCCACACCGTAAGTATAGTTCTGTTCTGTTTTTAAAGCAATGTTCCACTTGTTTAGTATAAGCTGCACATATGGAGCAAAGTTAAGAGATGTGATCCTGTCGCCGGATGGCTCAGAGCTTTCCTGCTGCCATGTCACCTCAACCCAGCACCCTATGTTACTTCCATGAAGGACCTGCACCCCCAAGCTGCAGTTCCCATAAGATCACAGCGTTTCCCGTCAGTGCATGAGAGATCTGTTCCAAATTCCAGGCATGGATTCTTGGATTCTTTTGAAAGTTGTGAATACCTTACAGATTCTTGCGTTAGCTCAGCCGGTTGTAAGGGGACGCATAGCCTGTGTGTGTCCCATACAGCTTTTGCATTGACTGTACAATTTGCATAGGCAAAGATGGTGCCATGATGCTGTTATTAAGCTAAGCATCTTTCCTTCAAAGGAGGCCCCACTGAATTAGCAAAACCTTTTCGTAAGTGTGCTTCGGATGCAGTCTGAGTGGTATTGGGTCAAGCCCAATAGAGCCTGCTGTATCCATTGCCTGTCTCTGAATAATGTCAAGACAGACATGCTCCATCAAATTTCAGCACTGTTCCTTTTGGATTAATGGTGCCGCCATGTTGTTACTGAGTTGGAAGAGTCTTGCCTTTTATTTCCCCGTCCTCTTATGTGGGAGACATCAACTTCCCTCTTGCTCTTAAATTTCAGAATGAAGTTAACGCAATCAAATGGGATCCCACTGGTAATCTTCTGGCATCTTGTTCCGATGACATGACTTTAAAGGTAAAAAGTAAAACATCAGGTGATCTGGGTTTGTAATAAACTACTTGTGTTATACTTTTTCAGTCACGTTCTTAGGTGGAGTTTATCGCTATGTATCCAAGAAGGCTTTGGCTTTCTTTTGACTGGCAATGTTGTTAGTCATCTTTGGCAAAATGGGACCTGGTGTCTTATAACGCCACCAGAAACATCTTGCTGGACCAGCACATCAAGTCAAATCTCCTTTTGGATGCCCCCATTCTCTTGCTTGTGACAGGAATCGGCCTAAAATCCTAGGCACTCCATGTCCTGATGAATAGCAGAGTTGCAGAAACGTATATTTGGAGTGAATGCGTCTTGGAAGTAATAAAACACGCAGAATCAAAGGTTCATCAGTAAAAGAAGAATTTTTCACGAAAGGCAAAAAAACACATGGAAGGCAAAACACACACACACACAAAAACAACTTCAGAGAAATCTGCAAACGTTCAAGGTCGAAAATGAAAGTAAGAAAGAATTACCAGTTCGCTAAGCGCACAAATTTATCTATCTCAGCGTGACCTTGAGATAGCCAAAACATAAAACATAACATTTCCAACTCTTATCAGTAAAAAAAGAAAAGAACCTTGTAGAATGAACTAGTATCTTCCAGCATTTTCCACTTTCTGCCCTCAAAGACCCCCAGTATTGAGTATTGAATGATACTTGGCCAATATTGATTAGCCTGTCCTCATGAATTTGCTCCTAAAGCCACCTTTGCTAATCCCAATCCCAGCATGTTGAGGCTTTGTTACGTTTTCAATGACTAGATTTAGTGTTGCTGGAAGGCCTTCCTTTTCCTTGCGCTTGTCAGTCAATTTAATTTACTTGCTTCATCTTCCTGACTTTAAAAAGCACTTGGTGTGGCTATCAGCTCATATCAGCCCCTTGTTTCACTTGTTTTAGTGTAACATATTTCCCCAGGTTGGCATCCAACTAAATTTTACTGGGAGTGCACTCAGTGGAATGAATGGACCTAACTTGTTGACGTTCATTAATTGCAGTGGATCTATTATGAGTAAAACTTAGTTAAATACCACCCTGGTGTCTTTGTTGAGCTGCTGCCTTTAAGAACGCAGAACAGGAATTGTCGCTGTTCCAGAGGATTATAGTCTACAACGAAAGGAACAGAAAGCTGAGTCTATACAGAGTCAGACCATGGGTTCATTTAGTTCAGTATTGTCCAGAACTAGCCAGTACGGTTCCCTTTACATAAACCCAGCAGCAGTTCCGCAGGTTTTTAGAGAGGGATACCCTGCAGCGTTTTTAACCACACACTGGAATTTGTTTGTTTGTTTGTTTTGGTTTCTGTCCTATGAAAGCACATTCTCATCCCATACGCAATTTTATGATTCTGTGTTGAGATTCCTGCATCGCAAGGGGTTGGACGAGATCACCCTCAGGGTCCTTTCCAAATCAACACTTCTGTAGAGAACACCTGGTAAAGGTAAAGGGACCCCTGACCATTGCATTAGGTCCAGTCATGGCCGACTCTGGGGTTGCGGCGCTCATCTCGCTTTACTGGCCAAGGGAGCATCCAGGTCATGTGGCCAGCATGACTAAGCCGCTTCTGGCGAACCAGAGCAGCGCACGGAAATGCCGTTTACCTTCCCGCCGGAGCAGTACCTATTTATCTACTTGCACTTTGACGTGCTTTCAAACTGCTAGGTGGGCAGGAGAGAACACCTGGAATTCACTGCAAATGGGAGGCCACCTCCGTGAAGCAGGTCTCCACACATTTTTTGCACTTCCTTCCAATGCTTCGTGGAGAGCCTCCTTTGGCGTTGGGTGCTGTGGAAATTGCCACAGCTGTGCGCAGAACAGATTGCAGAACGGTGACCGAGCGCCTACAAATGCAGTGCCAAGTTCACATGAGAATTGGGCTCGCAAAACCCCCGGAGCAAAGTGTCTTCATTTGCACTGTGTGTTTCTTGGCTTTGGCGGAAGGAAGAGGGTTGCGATATTTGCCGGGAAACCCTTTGCACAGAAAGCTGATACGCTCTTTCTCCTCTCTTGACCTCTCTTAGATCTGGAGTATGAAACAAGATAGTTGTGTCCACGATCTACAAGCACACAACAAAGAAATTTATACTATCAAATGGAGTCCTACGGGGCCAGGAACAAACAACCCAAATGCCAATCTTATGTTAGCAAGGTAATATTGTCACGGGGAGACAGCCGCTATGCTAAGGCATCAGAATTCATCCTCGGCACATGAAGGATTAAACTGTGGGGACTCCCCCGATGCAAGGGGGGATAATTGGGGTCCACAGATTGATGGGCCTCCCTCCCACAGGGAGGTCTCAAACCATGGTCAATTGAACACCTTAAAATACACACTCTTCTTCAGATTTTCCCACCAATTGCAGAAAGATCTGAAGAGCTGCCCAGGCAGTTTTGGACAGGGCTTGTATGTGCACCCCTCCTTGTCCCCATTTCAACCCTTTCAGTGTTCTAAGAAGCCTGCTACTATGCTCATTTGTGTATTTGAGCATGTGCTTCTAGACTCCTAGACAGAGCCAGCTGCAAGTGCCTCATCCTATTTCGAAGGTCACTTCTGCACCAAACATTTAAAGCCCATGACTTCCTCTCACCCCTAAAGAATCGTGGGAACTGTAGCTTATCCCTCACAGAGCTGCACTTCCCAGCTTCCTTAACCAAACGGGGTTCCCAGGATTCTTAGGGTGAAGCCGTGCACTTTAAACGTATGTTGCGGAGGTGACCAAATTCAGGAGTGCCCCAGGGGGATATGTCCTAGGCCTTTTCTTGGAATACTGCTTGTTTTGCAGAACGCTGCAATACTTGCAACCTAGGTAAGTGCCAACTAGCCCAAGGAAATCCAGATACGGATATTTAATCATAATGAAACAGGTCATTATAATAATGAAGCTGAAGTCTATATACAGTTACGATTGTAGGGTCCAGGGTGGTTGTTACAGGGGGGCAGGCGCCTGCACAGTTTATGAAAGATCAGCCCTTTTAATGCATGTTTTCTGCTGCACTCCCCTCATTCTTTTGCTTTTCTTCCTCCACCCTTAATTCCCCCCAGTGCATGGTTTTGTTTTGTTTTTTAAAGAAAGAAAGCATAGGTAAATACATTCTAAAGTCAATATTGAAATGACAGCAATTGCTTCCCCCTCCCGTTCTTTCCTTTCTCGGCAGTGCATCTTTCGATTCTACAGTTCGGTTATGGGATGTAGACAGAGGGATCTGCATCCACACCTTGACGAAACACCAAGAACCTGTGTACAGTGTAGCTTTCAGTCCTGACGGCAGGTACCTGGCCAGTGGCTCTTTCGACAAATGTGTACACATCTGGAATACACAGGTGCGTCTACTTGGGTGGTTGTTTGTGTTTAGCTATTTTATTTAAATTCCTTTCTTTCTTAGGGTTCTTGCCCCACACTCCTCAGTCGGATTTGCCAGGACAGCTTTTAATATCAGGGGCTAAGTGATGATGATGATGATGATGATGATGATGATGATGCCTTTCAGGGTGTCTGGGGTCTTTTCCTTGCTTCTACAATGGCAGCACTTGGTGATAGGGAATGTGGCCTTTTATTGCTGCTGAACCTCCCAACAGTAGTCCTCACCATTCATGTCCAGCATGCCTCTTGAATGCCAGGGGAACCTTGCGCATTTTGTTTTCTTTCTCCCACCCATTCCTCTCCTTTGCACCAAGGATTTCCCCAATGTTTATGAGAGAGAGAGAGTGCATGTTTCCAAGCACAGGGCTCCCATTAAAATGCAATACACAGTTGTGATTTCTGCCCTAAGAGGGTCTGAACAAACAGGGTTATCTAAGAAGGAGGGGGACATCAAATGCAAGAGTTGGCTGTTCCGCAAGCTGTTTCGTTGGCACAGAAATGGCTTTTTAAGGTGAACTGATAGGTTCGTAAAATGGGCTCCTGCGTGCCAGTCAGACCCTCCCTGGTCACAAATACAGTCTCAGAAGACTAGTTCCCATTTAACTTTTCTCTTGCTTTTAAAAGTCTCTATTAGCACAGTGCTATTTCAGAAGTGACCCTGCGAAAGAGGTGTTTTTAAAAGGAACCAGAAGGGTTTGCATTGTGCATATCCTTTTTTCTCCCTGGGTCTATGCGTATTGATAATCTTCTAGCTGGACTATAATAGTGACTGGCGGCCCCCGAAAAACATTTTAGAAGTCCTGTTTAAGCAGAAATTCTATGGCTTGTTAAAAGAGGGCATATAAAATCTTTGAGCTCATCTGCACCGGTTTCCAATTTGCTTCTGGGCTAAGTTCAGAAGCACTAAACAGGCTGAGCACAACACATTGTTCCATTTGTTTGTCCCCTTCCTTGTGACCAGCAGTGACTTCCTGCTCTAGAACATGGCACTTGCAAATGGAAGGGACCTCATAGAGCAGGCATAGGCAAACTCGGCCCTCCAGATGTTTTGGGACTACAGTTCCCACCATCCCTGACCACTGGTCCTGTTAGCTAGGGATGATGGGAGTTGTAATCCCAAAACATCTGGAGGGCCGAGTTTGCCTATGCCTGCCGTAGAGTTCCGCCTTGCTCTCTGTCTCCCCCACAGGCACAGAAAGGCACTGCAGAGAATAGTCCATGTGCTCATGTCTCCGTTGTCACCCATCATCTCCTTATTACTGGAGATCTGTATCCCACACAGGAAAAGAGTGTGTTTAGAATGTAGGTGGTTTCGAATGCATGCATACTTACAGAAAATCAAGTGGTATGTGTTTATATTAACAAGGATGACAATGTATTCTAATTACTTTCTATCCCCCCCCCTTCTTTTTCAGACGGGTGCTCTAGTGCATAGTTATCGGGGAACAGGAGGCATTTTTGAGGTTTGCTGGAATGCAGGAGGAGACAAAGTTGGAGCGAGTGCTTCAGATGGTTCAGTAAGTACACAGGTTATTGCAGTTTGTCACTCCTGGAATATCCGAGTGAGCTTGGAAATGTAGAGGCTTCTTAAAACAAGCCAGAAGACCCATTGCTGCGTGACAAGCTAGGTGGGACTACAACTTAATGCAGCGCTTCATGAAACCAGTAAATGAAAAAGTAAGCATTCATTGGAGCATCTCCTTAGGTAGTCAGTGAAGTGTTGCCAGGCTTAGACCAACTCCACCCATCCAGGCTGGCCATTTGACCCTCCCAAACAGGAAAGACCATTAGCGGCTTCCTGTTTGAGTGGAGACAGTGACGGGTCTTCCTGCTTGCCCTCTTGTTTCCTGTGATCCTGTTTCCTGACAGCCCCCAAATTCGGTCCAGTTACTCTGCCCCCACCTCACCCTGCTTCTTACAGGGACAAGCAAATTGCCACGCCTATTCAGATCTGACACAGAGAGTTCAAATGTTATCGTTTCCAACCAAGGCGCTACCACAAAACAAGAATTTCCGATCATTCTTTTGAGATTCTCATGACTGCATGCAAATGCAGGGAAGAAGCGGGTACAGAAGAAATTATTCCTCCATAAATAATAAATAATAATAATAATAAATTTTTATTTATACCCCGCCCTCCCCAGCCAAGACTTGGCTCAGGACGGCTAACAACCAATAATAAAAACAAGTTGATTAAAATACAATTTAAAAGATTAAGATACAACATTAAAACATTAGGGTGCAATCTCTTCATAGGAGGAGAAAAGAAAAAGAAAGAGGGGGAGGGAATCAAACTGATTCTAAGCCAAAGGCCAGGTGGAACAACTCTGTCTTACAGTCCTGCGGAAAGAGATCAGATCCTGCAGGGCCCTGGTGTCAAGAGACAGATAATTCCACCAGGCCAGAGCCAGTGTTGAGAAGGCCCTGGCTCTGGTTGAGGCTAATCTAACTTCCTTAGGGCCCGGGACCTCTAGGGTGTTGCTATATATGGACCTTAAGGTCCTCCACGGGGCATACCAGGAGAGGCGGTCCCATAGTTACGAGGAACGTGGAACAAGAGAAGACTCTTTCTGTTTTGTTTTTTAAAAGCAAAACGCTCAGGTTCACTACCAGCATCCATTTAACTCAGCAGTGTGTACAGCAAGGAGGACCGGCAACAAAATGCTGCAGCGCTCAAGCTCAGGGTGCCAGCCATGCCCTTTTCTAAGGCACACCATCCCATTCCCCCTCCAAGCTTTCCTTTTTCCTACCAAAAGACACTTAGCATTCTGTGGGCACTGAGCATGCTCAGTCCTCTTTGGGGCTCAGGTTTTTTGGGGCGCCCCTTTTTTGCCCCCCTCCCAAAGGCCTTTTAGTACTTCTGGAAACTTTGGGGCTCTTGTAAGAGTCCTGATTGCCGCCACCTTGGGCTGTACCCGGAGCTCCCTGTCCGCTAGTTCAAGGACTCTTCTGCCAGCAGACGGGCAACTTTTGACGTTGTTCAGCAGAGGATGCGAATGCAACCGTTTTGCGTGAAGCTCACCATGCAATGGGTCGTGCATACAGCATTATCACTAGCAAGCGACTTCTGCGTTTCCTTGTGCAGCATCATTCTGCAGGCAGATAACGTTGAGCCATCAGAATGAAAGAATACTTCCGAGTGACTTTAACCTAGCGCTACATTAGAGGCAAAGGGACGCGGGTGGCGGTGTGGGTTAAACCACAGAGCCTAGGACTTGCCGATCAGAAGGTCGGCGGTTCGAATCCCCGCGACGGGGTGAGCTCCCGTTGCTCGGTCCCTGCTCCTGCCAACCTAGCAGTTCGAAAGCACATCAAAGTGCAAGCAGATAAATAGGTACCGCTCCAGCGGGAAGGTAAACGGCGTTTCCGTGCGCTGCTCTGGTTCACCAGAAGCGGCTTAGTCATGCTGGCCACATGACCCGGAAGCTGTCTGCGGACAAACGCCGGCTCCCCCGGCCAATAAAGGAAGATGAGCGCCACTACCCCAGAGTCGGTCACGACTGGACCTAATGGTCAGGGGTCCCTTTACCTTTATCTTTACCTTTACATTAGAGGCATCCCTTTGTTTCTCAGCTGTCAACGCTCAGTATCAGTGCTTGCTAATAGCGGGAGGGAGTACACATAGGCCCAGGGCAAAAACATGAATTGTTCATCCCCTCTTGCGACTCCCTAGCATCCATGAGTGAGAGATATCCTATCTGTGGAAGGTGACAATAGGCCTCTTCTCTGTTGTATGCAACTGATGCTCTTAAGAAGTAATGTATATTCTTGCGGATTAATCTGTTGTTTCATAAACTTCTTAACGCCCCACTTTCCCCCACCCCTTCTCTCCTCCCCCTTGCAGGTTTGTGTACTAGACCTACGGAAATAGCGCTATTAGTTGGAAGCCATGGACCGACTATGAATGTGTACATAGCCAAAATGACTGTCCCCTTGACCCATGTACTGCTATAGTCCCAATTGAACCATGGCCAGTTCCACTACAGCCAAACCCGAGAAAGAATTATATACATATACTGTGTATTAAAAAAAAAAAGCGAAAACAGACAAGACACACGGCAAACGATTAACACCCTGAAGAAGACGACAAGAGGTTGTTGGGTTTTTTTGTTTTTTTGTTTTTTCACAGCTTGTGAAGCCTGTTCACCAAGTGCTGGAATCTGCTGTGCGCCCACCCCACCCCACCCAAAATAACATGTGAGCATCTTTGAAAATGGAAAAACAAAAAACTAAACTTAACAGGAAGAGAAAGAGAGAGAGAGAGATGTAACCGTAGAGGAGCAGCTCATTGTGTGTACCAAATTGGGGGAAGTTGCAGGTGGCTGCCTCCCTCCTTCCCTTGCCCCCCACCCTTTCTGCATCCCCTCCCTTCTTCAAGGTTTTTTAAAAATGGAATTCCCCCATCGTCTCCCCTCCATCCCTCCTTTCTTCTTTGGCTTCCTTTCTTCGTAGCGGACGAGCAGTTTTTGTGTACATTGCTTTTTAACACCCCCTACCCCCTTATTTTTGCTCAGAATTGGGGAGGGTGTGTGTGTGTGTAACGTTTTGCAGCCGTCCTTTCCAAATGCGTTATTTTAAAGGTGTAGGGATATCTCAAAGGCGTTGTGGTTCCCTGTCCACAGCTTAGGCAGGGAGGCGAGGAAGCGCAAAGCAGAACCTCTCGGAACATTGTAAGTTTGACATTCCTTTACGTCGACGTAAGATCCATTACTCATGGGCTCACAGGCCAGGGGGCTGGGTGGCTTGGCCTTTAGATATAAATATATCTATAAAAGTGTGTTCCAAAAAGCAGTCGTTCCTTACTTGAGACATTTCAGGCAAACATCAAAGGGTACATTATTTTATTTGTGTGTGTTTTAATTAAGAAAGTGCAGGGGTGTGTTTATACACACACATAGACACTCTGGTGTTTGGAACACATGCCCACAGTGGAGGGATCAGGGTTGTGCCATTTACTCCCACCTGAAGTTTGTGTGTTACGTTTTATATTTGCATAGGGACCTGCACACACAGACACAGCCGTGGTGTATCTGCAAGGAGTGGCTCTGGACTGCACCAGTCCTGGTTCCACCAAGGCGTGGACATTCCAAAACATCAGCACAGGACTCATTCAACTTTTGCTTTAGCTGTAGCTTGACAGTTTCTTTGTACCCACTGCTGTAGTCTTAGAGCCCTAACTGCGCAACTGCTGCGAAGAAGGAAAGAAACGTGAGGGGAAACGGATTGTTCGGTTTGCGCTCAGATTCACCTGAGCGAGTTTTTTTTCCTGCTACAACATCCGGGCGACTCTTCGCCTGTTCCTTCTCAGATGTCTAGTGTCACCAAAGTCCAAATTAATTAAAAGTATTTTGAGTTTGGGGTGGGTGAGTAGGTGCCCGACACAAGACACATGCACACACTTTTTCCCCTTTTTAAAATTTTTTAAAATTTATTATTATTATTATTATTAAAAAAGACAGAAATGTATTTGCCACCTCATTGCTAATACTGGGACGAGGTAAGCAGTTTGCTTGCTTACAGAAGTGTCCTACTGGAGATGTTTTGTCCATCCAAAATGTGTCGGAGAACAGTTTTTACACCTGTGCCGAACCAGCCTTGGTACTGGCAAAAGTTCAAAACGAATCATGGCCCCTTTTTAGATCTGAAAGGAAACGGGGGGGGGGGAGGAAGGGGATGGAATCTGAGAATTGTTTACAATTTATTTCAAGATGAAGCAATTCAACTTCCATCAGAGGCATGGATCTCGCCCTGTTGCTCCCATTCCATAATTTCCATATGGGCTTGCGACATTCCCACCCCCCCAAATCCCCCACAAAATCCAGCACAAAAATACGACCACTACCAATAGCGGTGTTTTTTATCTCAAGCATTGCTTTTCCTTTCCTTGCAGCGAGAGGTGGCCGTGGCAGAACTGCTATCCGCTCACGTATTTGAGTAGAGCAAAAACCCCAGTAGCATCAGCGCCCCTGCTTTGTGAAAAAAGTGGAGTGAAAGCAGATTTTCCACCAATACTGCTGATGTGCAGTGTTTTCAAACCCCTTTTTCAAAGCGAATTTCTCCTTCCTCTCTCTGGAGTCCGCTTCAACCGGCCCAATCTCTCTGCTGCTTGCCCCTTGATAACAAAGCCCTAGACAGTAACCTGCAGATCTGGACTACAGCTCCCATCATCCATAACCATTAGCCGTGCTTGCTGGGGGCTGATGGGAGTTGGAGTCCCAGCAGCATCCGGACAGCCACAAGTTCCCCCACTTTTGCTTTATATAGCTCGTTGCAGATTGATCCTAATGCAGAGAAGGCAGCTTTTGGTCTCTTCTTTTCAGCCGATGACGTTTTGGGCTTTTTAGCATTGATTTCTGTGCACACGAAACCATGTTTTGAGGCAGTTGGGAGTCCAGCTCAGCCTTACACGGCATGGCAGCCATTTTAGCCTACTTTTAATACACACAAACACATCAGTTATTACTAATGGGGGAGTTGCTACCTTAACGCAAAAAAAGCAAAAGGAAGATTTATACCCACAAGGGCAGTCAGTCATCTGATACGGCTCTCTACCAGCTGTTTGTATGGTTTGGGAATAGGCTCAAGATGTTCAGAACAATTTCCCTGTGAATTTTGATATGTAAGAAACTCTTAACCTGTTGAATATCTGGCACTTGAAACAATTTTTTTTTGTGCTTTTTATTGCTGGAGGTCCAGGACTGTTGCTGACCTCTGTCATTATTAAAATAATTTTTAAAAAAAAGTTTTAAAAAATGTAAAATGAAATAAAATAAAAAATCTGTGCAATAATTTTAAACTGTGCTCCCAGAAATAGACACAAATGTGTTTGGGGATTTTTGTTTTGAATATATTTAAACGGCTCCCCCTTTTCCCCCCCTTTAGCAACGCAAATGTCAATTGCACTGAACTTAAATCTAAAAAAAAGAAAGAAAAAAAGTCAGAGGTGATTCTTGATAGTACTTTTGTATTTTGATATGGACAGTCTGTTCATTTTTCATACAAGCTGTTGAACGGATATTTCAGCGGACTTTGAAAAACTGTATAAAACAATGATGGTGTTGAAACTCTTTTGACACAGCTGCAAGATTCCTCAGCAACGTCCACATTTCTGGTTTTGCAACTGTTTAGCTGCTTTTCTTTCCGTTTCGGTTTTTTCCTGTTTGTTTTGTGATTTGATTCTAGCCACCTACGTACGAGATAGCATGCAGACGTTACCGAGGCTTCATTATCACCAAATCCTGGGCTGATTCCCCCTTCTCTCCCCCCCCCCCCGCTTTTGCTTCTAACACAATTCAAGGTCGTCGTTTAGTTGTGTGTGTGTATACATGTGCGGGGGCCAGAAGATGCTCAGCCGCTCTCTCTCTCTCTCGAGATCACGTGGGCCGGATCCCAAACTCCAAAGCCACGCACCACTCAAGAGGGGAGCGTTATTGTCGTGGGCCGAAACACCCGAGCTGCAAACTTTTGCCCCGAGTGCTATGTGCCTATTCCCACTGAAGTTGTGACGGTCGAGAGTATGCAGTAGGTTTCTCAAGACTGTAGCCCCACCGGCTGCGCTTCAGAGAATAAAATTTCAGACAGGTTTGCGCCATGAGCCTTCCCCCAAAAACCTCTCCTCCCACTACCACCTTTCTTGAGACTGCAGCCTCTTCATCTCATTCCCCAGTGCAAGCTGCTTTTGAAAACCAGCTAACGGTGCAGGGGTTTTTTTGCGATAAGATCACGAGGGCAGGGAAAACAGCCCTCGTCACCTAGCTGCGGTCTCTTGCAGGTGTGGGCTGCTCGAACCTCAGCCCTGAAGTTGCCCGTGGTTTTGCTGCTGTCCTCTTTTATCGATGTGCCACAGTGCTGCTCCAGTTCTGAACCAGCTTCTCATCTTCAGCATGAGATGAGCATGTAAAAGATGGCATTTGACGGGGACGACAGGTCGGCATGTTTAGAAGGAACTTATCAAGTGCCAATCTTCTATACAGGAATTCCAGGGAGGAGAATCTACACCATCTGGACCTCTTGAGGTCAGCTCCCAGATATTGGGGCCTTCAACCCTGTCTTTCACTCATAACGGTGACGTGCTTTTACAGGGGAGATGCATTTGCCATGACTATACTCTTTCCCTGAAATTGACTTTTAGGGCATCTCTTGCAGGAACATCTATAGAGGGCCATCATGACCATCAATGGTCATGGAAAGTCATTTTTAGAAATAAGCATCCCAAGTTAATGCAATAATAATAATAATTTTAAAAAACAACTTTTATTTATATCCCGCCCTCCCCAGCCGAAGTCAGGCTCAGGGCAGCTAACATCAGGTATAGAACATTGGTATAAAATCAAACAATAATTAAATTACCTCCTAAAAGCAGGTCAAAATCAAATTAAAGTCTAATTAAATGGTTTTCCGCAAGGTCAGGGTTTGGGAACAGTAAGTGCTCTGGCTTTTGCATCTGACTGGCATTTTCTACCACGTGTTAAGAGGGGAAAGTTTGGAGCATGGTTTTGATAAGCATTGGGTGGATGACAATGCCTGGCAAGTTTCAGCCAAACCATCATAACGATGGTGAGAAATTGGATGGGCCTATACTGCAGTCTCAGTCTCAACAGCAAGCCTTTGTGAAACTGAGATGTAGGTACACGTCAGTGAGGCTTCGGCTAAAAACAGATCCATCTTTGTTGGGTTGCATCATTAAAGTGTCCTGCTGGCAGAGAATGTGACAGGGGCTTAAACTGGTCTAAAAGCAATGATAATTTTGTTGGCCCATGAGAAAAATAAATAATCCCAAGTCCACACCAGGCCAGTAGCATTATTTTGGTTGGCTTTTAACATATGCATTACCCTAGTATTCTAAATTTGCTCACAGAGGTCTTCAGCCCTAGATGTATTTCTGAAATTGGGCAGTATGGTTTTTCCCTTTCCTTTTTTCCGACTACTGCAACTGAGACGTGAGCTCGTCTATAAACTCTTTCTGAGAGGGAGGGGGGCAAGAAGCATTGCAAAATAGAGAGGACCCGCTCCGCAGTCTCTCGTGATTAGAAATCATGCTGATCTCCAAAGGGAAAACGACCCCCGCCGACTGTAGGTGAGAACAAACTTGCTGCAAAGGTTGACTTTCGGAAGCAGCGAGCCGAAAATCTCACAAGCTGAGCAAGGGGATCTGGAAATGGCCGTCAGCCATAGTCATTTGGCTCAATTTAGCAATTGCTTCCAGAATTGGTAGAAAAGGGGCAGCATTATGGCATATGGATACCAAGCCAGCGAGAGAGAATATCCATACTACAGATCTAAAAGGAGGTGGATGTGCATTCAATGCACAGACAGTCCCCACCTCCATCGCTCCAATTTGTCAAAACCTGCGTGGCTCCTCCTTTCCATGCTGATTTTTGTTTTTTTAATAAAATAAAATAAAAACCCTTTAATAGGTACCTCCTTTGCTGGCTTCCTGCCTTTTGGGATTCATGCACATGAGCCAAACGAGTCATTTTCTGGATAAGCCTCTCGGTTTGGTGGACAGCAGCAAAGGTTTGATATCGGGAGCCTTCAGTCTTCTTGAGGAAGAAGACTCTTGAAGCGACGATAGGGTTATCCTGTAAGGTGAACTGGCGTCTCTTTAACTGCCAGCCCCATAACGACACAGGATCTTCAAAACAGCTGGGTTCGACGATGCAAGGTTGGTCAGTCCCAGAATTGTGGCCAAGCCTGAATGTGCTCCTATAGTTTTATTTTGGGTTTGTTTCTTGCATTTGTGGATGAATTCAGGAAGTCAAACTCTTGTTTCGTGGTTGCTTCTCCTGTGTGCTTTGCGATATCGTTTCTCTCGACAGGCCGCGGGAAGTCAGTCAGTCACCTATAATACAAAAGTAAACTCTTCTTTTCCTTCTACTACTCTCTCTCCTGACTTTGACATTGTAGTTGTAAAAAAAAGACAAAACAAAACAAAAAAAAAAAAGGTTCCGATTTGGAGTTGCTAATATTTTGGGTCTACTTCTGTGAGCCTACCTATAGCACTGGATAAAAAAAAAAATGTCTTCATCACTTCTTCAGTTATATATCCAGTAAAATTTACAAATGTTGTACAAGTGTAAAACCAGCCCATGTGACAGGTTTTTTCTTTTCTTTTTTTACTTGTTCAGAAAGACTTTTTATTGTTCAGTTTTCATGATTAATTGTCTAAAGAAGACTGATATAGATGTTCTATACTGTCCTGGACCCATGTTAATTACACCTTTTATGATGTATTTTGGTTCCACATCACAATGATTTTGTCTTCTCAAAAGCCCTTTTCTTAAACTGTTTCTAGGCACATTTTTTTTTTCTGTTGCGGTTACCCCCTTTGCATTGTATTGCTCTGACAAGTGTAATTTGAATCAGATCTGAAAGAGGTCCAGAATAAAATATATTTTGATACGATGCTGGCTATATGGTCTCTTCACCTTCAGTTTCACTTTTAGTTTGTAAAAATTTATTCCAAACCGTCCAACACAAATGCCCTCTGGGCAGCTCGCCCATCAAAGAAAGCAAAGCAGTAAATGGCAATTCCAAAATAGAATTGTAATAAATCATCACAAAACAACCACTCAATAACTTTAAACAGGGATATGATAACCTTAAACCAAGCCTACACTGCAGATGAACTCATGGGTTCGTTAAGTGAAAGTTTCAACTTGCAATCAGTTTGAAAGCTGATCTAGTTTTCACCAAAAAGCTGGAACTTAACTTGGTTTATCCTTACACTTACCGGTAGCTTATGTGCTGTGTTGTATAACCTAACACTGAATCCTACTCTGAGCTTGAGCCAATGCTGTGACTTTGTGAGCTGAAACTGATTTTACCACTGGTTATCCTTGTGGGATG